AGCTTGTTAAAACAAGCCTTTTAGAACGACGGCAACTCGGGATCAATCCATACAAACAAGTTACAAGACTTTTCAGCATCTTTGAACTACGAAAAAATCAAAATAATTCATAGATCAAACTTCATGTACATACATGTTAACAAAAGAAAAAACTACATAACCAACACAACCATATGCAACCAACAAAGGTTCATGAACCTCCTCAATGAAAACTACTAAACTTAAAACTCAAATAAAACCAACAAAGGTTCATGAACCTCCCATTCCTCCAAAGTAAACGACCCTTAAATTAGCATTAAGCATAACTGCATAACCAACAGAAAGAACACAAATAACACAGATGCACAAGAACTAATCAACTTCCAACTCAAATAGCAGTAAGCATAACTGCATAACCAACAGAAAGAACACAAATAACACAGATGCACAAAGAACTAATCAACTTCAAACTCAAATAACCTTAGGCATAACTACTCAACTAAAAATAACCTTAGGCATAACTACTCAACTACAATTTGGACTGCACATAACAACAAAGCTAAATAATTATACAAACACATTCGTAAAAACTGCCACCCGAAGTATTCTGCAAAAGATTTGCTGGACTCGAACAACTGTAAAGGGTAGTGGGATAAAAATTTAACCTTTCGGCGAGGACATTTGCAGAAACTTCGAGCTGGGTTGTCGCTCGTCATTGATGTGAACACATCGGCTGCGTCGCCACAATCAAATAGCGTAACCTAAAACGGACTACTATATCGATTGCTTGAACTCGTGTGAGAAGTACTTGACATCTTGCTTGTCTGAAAGTGTGCAAAATTAATGACGAATGAGTCATTTCAATCAGGGTAACAAGAACAACATAATCAAAGCCCATGATGAGAAATATACAGAACCCATAAATACAGAACCCAAATCATATATACATGACAAATCATGGAATACAAAACACAGAAATACAGCACCCATTAGTAACAGAAAACAAAACAGCCACCAAATCATGGACACACAGTATAAATTCTCATATGCAGTGATTGGGGGGGTTGAATAACAGCAATAAACTCAGAAATACAGAACCCAAACTAGAAGTAAATAAATAAATTATACACAACAAATTAACAAATCTTTACATAAATAAAAGCTGGGCCTTTTTTCAGATTTCTTGGCAGCAGAAAATTGCTTTACTAGAGTATGAACTGAAATGGCTGGTGGGAGTTTATTAACCCGTAATAAACTCACAAAAAGATTGTAGCTTTGCACAAGAGAACAAAAATCAATGGCTGCCCATAATTCGTTCTCTCTCACACACACGGCCCAGAGAAATGCACAATTTTATCTATCTATATATAACGCAAACTTTGATTTTGAGCCGAAAAAGGAAAAATTTGCTACTGCCCGTGACCTATTATATGTAATTTGTCTCTTTAATCAATCAAATGTGTGAGAATTAATAAAAAAGAAATTTGTGAAAATTAATAAGAAACAAGTCGGTTCAATTTCACGAAGAAAAGACAAAAATTGGAGATGCAAACTGGAAAATGGTCGTACCTGCCGTCGGGTATATTCTCGGGGGAGAAGGAGAACTCGTGGCTTCTCGTCGGGAGTGAAGATATGCCCTCACTGCCGTCGGGAGAAGGATATGCGCTGCACTGCCGTCGGGAGTGAAGACATGCGATGCACTGCCGTCGGGAGAAGGATGGAGGCGATTTGGTACAGATTTAGGGCAAAAAAATTTCTTCGGTTGAGTATTGGAAGAAGGTAGAAATCGATTATTGAGGAAGGGCAATCTTGTCTTTGTCCTGTATATCATATCAGTTAATCCATAAAAGAAAATGAGGGATTCATTTATGCAAATTCCATCTAGCAAAGTAAATAGGGGACTAAATGATGACATGGAAGATTGTCTTGATTAATTTTTCTTATCCCATCCTCCAAAGTAAACGACCCTTAGTGTTTTAGCATATGTTTTTTGTGAAAGTGATTTGCTTTGTGTTTTGTTATTCTCCATTGTTTTGGAGTGTATAATTTTTTTCGCACATGAGAGTTAGATTTGTTTCGTTATTATTTTCGTGTTAGTTTATAGTCTCGAATTTAGACTGCAAGGTACAGTTCTCCTAAATTCAGTTGTCTAACTGTTTTAATTAAACTATTGTAGCTAATTTCTAATTTGTAAGTTTGTTTGTTTGTTTGTTTTTTTTTTTTTTTTTTTTTTTTTTTTTTTTTTTTTTTTTTTTTTTTTTTTTTTTTTTTTTTTTGGTTGGAAAAAAAGTACCTACAGAATTTCACATTTTATTAAGACTTTATAGTCTTTTAAAATTCTAAAAATTCATGTAACATTCATCACATGAGAAATTAAAAATATAATAAAAGCATATGGTCATGTGTCTCTTATAAAGTGATTTGACAAGTCATATTGGTATTTAAATAATGTGGACATGCTATAATTGCGTTCATTTTCAAGGTGTACTATGACACCCAAAATTTATGCTAAACCACTATACATATATTAAGAGGTATAATAGCATGCTATTTTTCACAATATTTTCAATTCATTTGGGTAGCTATTTTTAGTAGTTAGATTTTTTTTAGCATTATTTTTTCACACAAATTTCACCTCATAACTATTGCCAGCATAATTTATGCATTAATGTAACATGTGATCAAAGATGAAGAATCATCTAATAAAGAGGCCATACCTACTCAAGGCTCAAACAAAGTTGAATAAAAGAGATATCCTTGCCGAATATGAGACGAAAGCCCTTGGAGTATGATAGGTATCCCCTTGGCAAAGGGCTTTTGAGAGCTAGCGGATGTGGGCCACCTCACGTGCAGGGGAAGATGGGTGTCGAGCTGAGCGTTGCACCGCGACGCGCTTGGGGTTTTTGCAATTTTGTTTTGTTTGGGACTTGAGTGAGCAACCGACCTGTGATTGTCCTCTTAGATTTATGACCTGCAAGTGAGGAGTCGTGCATATGGCTGCCCACTACGCTTTTGTAGGCCGTCTGCCGGTCGTTCGAACACTGGTTTTGATCTATAAATTTATTTTTACCGGTCAAAAATAAAAAGAGATGTGACAGTGCAATACATTTAAGAAAGCATTGCACAAATTCATATTTCCTTGATAGCAGATTGTAATAGGTGACTTGACTGGTGAATTATATTAGCGGTTTGTAAATATTTATTTGATAAATTGAGGTTTGTATAGTCATTATAGTAATCTTATATTGACATATTATTCTACAAATATTCTCTTATTAAAGCGCTCCTACATACCGTTTTCAAAATTATAGCTTTCGGCTAATGCGTTAATCAAATGTGTGTGTGATTAAAAAATATCATTTGGACAAATCAAGTATAAAATATGGGCATCATTTTGATTAATTAAATTATTTGTTAAATTCTTTAATTATTAGTTGTATATTTAGTTTTTATCATTTTATTATAAGAATATAATTTTTTTGCTTACTTATTTCTTTTGATACAATTTTTTTTCATGGATCTGCGTTATTCACGTGCGTTATATTAACAACTAAATAAATTAATTATTCTATTGAACTTCGACAAAAATAAATATATCTTAGATAAAGCAAATAATATTTGATACAAATGTTTTCTAGGATTTGAAATGATATTACAAGTTCTTTTACTCTCATATTAATTATTATAATTTTTTTATTCCACAGTTAAAATATATTATTTTTAATTTTAATTGCACAAATATTTTTTATTGAACATTCATGTAGTTTACATACGTTAATACTAGTTTTACATCAATCCGCTAATATCATAAGAATCCATTTAAACATGATATAATAATGGGAAAGACTACAGACCGGCTACAGAATCATTCCGTCGAGATTTTTCCGTAGGTTTTTATTCTACATTAATCTATATGTGTATCTAACAATAAAAAAACCCAAACAAAATGATTTCATAACCAAACTGAAATTTTTACCATAATATACTACACAATAAGTTCATTAGAAGTGATGCTCAATATTGGTAAAATCAAATCAATGTTAATATTAAATCATTTGACAAAACAAATGTCAAATATCCCCAACATCGTGTGTATTTTAAAGTGTTGGTCAAATTTAAAAGAAAATTTATTGGATATTCAAAAAAAAAAAAAAAAAAAACCCACTTCCCCCACAAAACATGTTAATTACACTTCTGCCCCAACACATATGGTCAATTCCTCATATGCCCCCTCTGAATATTTTAATCACACGAATTAGTTAATGGAAAATTCTAAGATTCCGTTACATGATAGTATTGGTGTTTTTCACTATTGAATACATATATAGAATATTTTGTATAGATAATCTACGGTAACCAACACTGAAAGAACATTCGATCGTAATAGTTCCCTTAGTTAATCAGTAAATTACTAAACACACATGCACAGTTTCAAAGAAGATTTATGCTGACAAGAAACAAGAGATTTTCACGGTCACATAATTCTGCTGTTACAAAATTAATAAAAAAAAAAAAAAAAAAACTCACCAAAAGGAGATAATTCTGTCTTTATTGACTTTCACCACCACCATATTTCTTTATTTCCACACATATATTAAAAGAATCCGACACTCGCCCAGCAGCATAATTTCATTTTTATCTTTTAATTCCTTATAATTTTTGTTTACTCCCTTTTTTCATCCTTTCTTTCTCCTTTACCTTTCTCTTGAAGAGTCGAGAGATTTTCTTCGATTTGTTGATCTGCCCTTTTATTTTATTCTTATTTCCTTTTAGACACCCAGTTTTGCTGATCTCAAATCTTGAAATTATCTGGGATGATCGAAGAGTTGCTTTTGGCTAAATATCTCCCGAGAAAAATTCAAGAATTGATTTTTCATGAGTTGGGCTGCTTCGAAAAGCTGAGAAAACGCCGTATAATTTGAATTTTTTTTTTTTTTTTTTTTGGGGTTTTTGCATGAAGAAATTTATGAAATTGTGAAGAGGGCTTTTTTTTAGGAGGGTATATAGTGTTCTGGGCTGATATGGGTGGGTGTTTTCCTTGCTTTGGATCATCAAAGAGGGCTGTGAATAGTAGTAACAATAGTAATGGAGTGAAACAAGTAGCCAAAAAGGAGTCTTTTAAAGAGAACTCTTCTGTTCACTCCAGTAGCCATGTGAATAGAGTGAATTCAGGTACACAAGTTGTTTGTTTTCTTTCAGTTTTATGTATAATTTTTAGCATTTATTCTGTGGATGGGTGAGTGAGAGTGAGCTTGAATTTGAATTGTCATTCTTGGTTCATTTGCCTGTTGTTGAGGCATGAGAGGGCGATCGAATCGTTTTCTTAATACGTGTTTGATTAAGTTCTTGAATTGTTGACATGAAATGGGTTGTTAGTGAGTTTGCTTGTTATTTGTTGTTGTAGTTATAACAACCCAGCAACTTTTAGTTTTAAACTCAGACCCGGATTATCTATTTACTTGTTTTGAACTCGACCGGGATTATGTTTAAACATCAGGGTATCATTTTTCCTGAAACTTAGTTGTCATCTGTCCCAAAAGGTGGAATCAGATTGGTTTCAGTACTTATAGTTGTCCAAAAGATGTGAGTGCTTGAGAATTTGGTGTTCATTCTTTCAGCATTGCAGATGTTGGGACGTAATTGCCCCAGAAAACGGAACTAATTTATGAAGTTGTTAAGAGGGATCAAGGATGGCTGCTTAAATGAGAATGCACCACCATTGGGCAAAATTAAGATAATCACAAGAACAATCCTGTGCTTTCACCCTATGGAAAAAAAAAAAAAAACCCATTTGTCTTCCAAATTTACATATACCCCCTTAGAACTTCTTTAAACATCCTGTAATATTTGTGTTTACTCGACATATACCGTCTCTTGAGTCTTGCTGGTGCATTTAGTAAAGAGTAATGCATGTCAAGAGGTATTTGTACTTGTAATCAGCTAATCCTCTAAGGTTGTATTCATTATAATTAGCTTTTTTCGATAAACATCTTTTGATAATTGCATTAAACATTTTATTCTTTCACAACTTCTTTCTACTCTGCTAAGGAATTGCCTTATGATCCCTAGATAAATCAAAAGGCCGGAAAAGTACTGATACCAAGAAAGAATTACTGCTACCAAAAGAGCCAACAGCTAATATTGCTGCACAAACATTTACGTTTCGTGAGCTTGCTGCAGCTACAAATAACTTTAGGCCCGAGTGCTTGCTTGGCGAAGGTGGTTTTGGGAGAGTTTACAAAGGCCGTCTTGAAAGCACGGGGCAGGTAGCTTAACAATACAAATAACTGTCGAGTGGTCTTTTCATTTTTGTTATTAATTATTATTCTGGCAAAGGGCAAACATCTATAATTTTATGCTCAATTACTGTTGGAGAGTGGTTCTTTTGTAGGTTGTGGCAGTTAAGCAACTTGATCGAAATGGGCTTCAAGGGAATAGGGAATTTCTGGTAGAGGTTCTCATGCTTAGCCTGTTACACCATCCGAATCTTGTCAACTTGATTGGATATTGTGCTGATGGAGACCAACGGCTTCTAGTTTATGAGTACATGCCATTGGGATCTCTAGAAGATCATTTGCACGGTTAGTCTTTAGTTAAAATATTCATCTACGTTTACTTCTTCAGAATTCGTGTTTTTTAGCTGGAATGTTGTTTTCCCTGTAAAATAAGTAGTAACTAGTTTTATGTTAGCAATAGTATTTGCTGTCCAGAACTTCTAACAGGTTATTAATATGTTTGATTTGGCTTTATATTCTTCTTTAATGGCCTTGCGATTTAGTTTGCACACACCGAACAGAGAATGACAATATACTTTTAAATTTATAATTTAGGTAAAGGTAACCCTGATGTATAGCATCTGTCTTTTCTTTATCTGTTGCTGGTCATATATGGCTATATGCTTATTTCCTAGGGGCATCCGGTTTGGTATCAATCTGTAAAGGGGCACAAACTTCAAGGGGGTTCGCTCTATTTCAAAGATAACTGGAATAGGCTTTTTTTCTTTAATTTATTTAATCATGCTAAAGTTCAACGAAAGCCTTTTGTAATTATTCCCTTGTAGCTCGTCCCTCTCCCATATTCTAAACTCAATAGTCTTTAAAATTACATTCTCTGTGACGTTTTGTGCAGATCTGCCACCCGATAAAGAGCCTCTCGACTGGAACACTCGTATGAAAATTGCGGCTGGTGCTGCTAAGGGCTTAGAGTACCTGCACGATAAAGCAAACCCGCCCGTCATATACAGGGACCTGAAATCATCCAATATCCTTCTTGATGAGGGGTTTTTCCCCAAGCTTTCAGATTTCGGGCTTGCAAAGCTTGGGCCCGTGGGTGACAAGACCCACGTCTCGACCCGGGTTATGGGGACTTATGGCTACTGTGCCCCCGAGTATGCCATGACCGGCCAGCTCACCATGAAATCGGACATCTATAGCTTTGGGGTCGTGTTTCTTGAGCTGATCACGGGCCGGAGGGCGATCGACAACATGCGGAGTGCGGGAGAGCATAATCTCGTTGCATGGGTAAGAAAAGGAAAAAAAGGAAAAAAAATAAAATAAAGGTTTCTCTTTCTAGGCTACAATTTTCTTTATATTGAACAAGTTGCATCCCAATACTTACCTAAATACTACAAATAGCCACAGACAAAAAAGGTGGAGCCATTCTCAGTTTTAGGAAATTTGAGGGATGTAAAACAAATAAACCTCAGTACTATCAGTGAGAACCATATGGGGTGATGGTAATTTTCGATAGGTAATTTTCGATAGATCACTTTTAACCTTATTTTTGCTCGTAAATTCTCGTGAAAACTCCAGGCGAGGCCCCTTTTCAAGGACCGGAGGAAATTCCCGAAAATGGCGGACCCGCTACTGCAGGGCCGTTACCCGATGCGTGGGCTCTACCAAGCCCTTGCTGTGGCCGCCATGTGTCTCCAGGAGCAGGCCGCCACACGGCCACTGATAGGTGATGTCGTCACAGCCCTATCCTACCTGGCGTCCCAAACCTACGACCCGAACGGACCGAAGCACAGGCACGAGCGGAGGAACACGTCAGACGACGGGCCCCACCTCGGGTCCCCTTCATCTGTCCAAAGGAACTCGCCCGACTCCAGGAGGTTAGAAGAGACTGGGGGTGGCTCGGGGAGCCGTCTGGGCCCAGATGGTTTGGGCCGGGCCGACTCACAGGTGGGCAGCCCGGGGAGTGCAGGCCGGGCCCGCGAGACCCCCAAGAACCCTGAGAGAGAGCGCGCGGTCGCCCTGGCTAAGGTCTGGGGGGAGAATTTCAGGGAGAAAAGGAAGAGTAATGCCGGGAGCTTTGATGACACGAACGAGTGAAGAATAAAGGTTAAAAAACGAGATCGTGAAAGTCGGGATTTGGGAGGTGAGTCTGTTCATGTCTGAAGGAGGATTGTAAGAGGAATCTCACTTCTGGCTTCTGGGGTAATATGTCATGCTATTGCATATTATATGTGCAGCATTTTTAAAAACAAAGAGCCCATGTATGATTAATTTTGGTTTTGACAGAGAAGAATATATGAACTTTTTTTGGTTTGGGCATCAAGGCTCCAAGAGTGTCTTTGGTTTTATCTCTTGTGTCATCACCATGTTAATTGGTCCTAAATTTTGAATGAATCTTTGAAGTCCCAAACATTTGAGAGGCAGTAAATGAACCAAAACAATGGACACAAAATGGAACCTGAAATTCTGGTTTTGAAAATTTTACACAGAAATTAGGCAATTTGTGATGCTTGTGTTACATACAACGAAGGCTTGTCGAAATTAATCATGATTTAATTTTATTGCACGAAGATTTTTAGGAAATATGATTAGATAAATGTAACTTTTTTTTTTTTTTTGGGGTACTTTTAACTAAATTTGTATCTACTTGTTTTTCATGGTGACCATTTAATTTAGTGGTATAGAACCAAGTAAATATTTAAGCTTAGTAATCGATCATGTAAATATGCATAGATGCAAATAAAATATTATAGGTCATATGTTTGGGTATAATATTTAAAATTATAAATGTGAATATGCATAGATGCAAATAAAATATTATAGGTAATATGCTTGGGTAATCATAGTTAATTTTGAAAAAGTTGGTTGAGTTAGGTTTGAGTGAAATTTTGAGTTTGTATTAAAATAATATTCAAAATAAAAATGATAAAGTTGATTTGATGTAAAACTTGGAGAGTAAAGATTGAAAGTGATGAGTAGTTAAAATAATGCCAGTGAATGGATAGTGAATTGAAATTGATGCAATGCGTTGAAATTGATGTAATGCATGAGGATGATTGATTGATATTATTTAATTATATTGTAATATTGAAGATAGTGAGATTCAGTTAAATTTGAGTTAGATTTTATTAAGTTAACAAAGGATGAAATATCAATATATATATATATATATATGTATATATATATATATATATATATATATATATATTTTGTACAAGAAAGGGATGCAGCCTACGCAACGCCTAAGTTAGAACACTCCGAGGAAAGGCGCCGCCAATCCTATCATGAAGTAGCCACATGCTCACCCCCGGCAGAGGACTCGCCAACCATTACGATCCACCCGGGCACTTTGCCGCCAAAGAAATCAAATAATCTGCCACAAAATTGGCTTCCCTATAACCATGAACGACGTCCACCTCCCCACGACGGGCTAATACCTCGTTTATACTGTTCACCAACCCGCCATGCGGCCCGCAAACATGCTCGTATTTAACCATCTCGATAATACTTTTTATGTCAACTTCAACAGTAACCCGTCGAACACCAATATCCCATGCCAGAAGCACACCCTGAAACAAACCCCAGAGTTCAACACCCACGATCGAGCAAAAGTCGATATTCATCACAAAACTGTGCACCCAGTTCCCACAATGATCACAAACAACGTCGTCAGCGCTAGCTATCCCCGTCGACGGATCAAAGCTCCCATTCGTATTGACTTTCAACACATCCACCGCCGGTCCCGACCACGAAATCCACCGCCGCTCCCTAACACCACGTGCGCCGACGACCTGGCTCCCTTCCAAGGAACAACGCGTCATATCCATGTAAGAAAAAACCTCGCTAAGCCGCCGGGACATGGGCACATCGGAGTCTTGGAAAAGCTTGAGGTTCCGCCACCTCCATAGCTTCCATGCCGTAAGCCCGAACAAAGGTCCCCAATCAGCCCGAGCCAGACTTAAGTCCCCAGTAAGATTATCGAGAAACCACCGTCGAATATCCAAAGAGAAGAAAACACCCCAAAAACGCAGAGGCAGCAGACTTTTCTACGTACGTGTCGCCTCATGACAATCGCGTAAAGCGTGTAACGTGGACTCGCACTCCTAAAAGCAAATCGCGCAAACCGGGCTTGACGTCATCTGTCTACGATGCCGCGACACATTCGTCAACAGACTATCTCGAGCGGCGAGCCAGAGAAAACTCCTCACCCGCTGCGGGCCCACCCACTGCCAGATCGTCTTCCACAGCTTATTCGTGCGCCTGCCGGAAGGCTTCACCAACGCCATGTACGCCGACAGCGTGGAAATCGACCATCCGCAGACAGCCCCCAGAACATCTCATCCTCCCCTCTATTCTCACTTGGCGGAAGAATAGCTGCGATCCGAAGAAGACACGTGACGGGCAGCAGATGTTGGAACAAAGACCAGTCCCACCCACCCGCCGATGTAACATAAGCAGCCACCGGAGTGAAAAGAATCGCCTCCAGAACCGGGGCCGTCGTAGAGCATATCAAAGGAATATCACAATTCAGCCACTTATCCTACCAGAATCGAGCCCGAAGACCATTACCCACAGACCAACGATAGCCCGCCAAAGTGTCCTTCCATACATATCGAAGCGACCGGAGGACCGTCGAACCCTGAGGAAATTTGAAGTCTTCTCCCATCGCCTGAGGAACCAACGAATATTTGGCCCGAACCACCCGACACCATAATAACTGCGGCTGTGTCAAAAATTTCCAGGCTAATTTCATGAGCAAAGCCTAGTTCATGAGCCGCTAATCTTTCATAACCAGCTCGCCCTCCTCCTTTAGGCGACATACCTCCGACCAGGAAACAAGGCTAACTTTATGGGCTGAATCCGTCCCGCCCCAAATAAAGTTACGAAACTTCTGCTCCAGACTATCACAAACTCCATAAGGTAAAGAATCCGTTTGCATGGAAAAGTACGACAATGTACACAATGCCGTCTGGGCCAGAGTGACCCTCTCGGCCATCGAAAGAGACGAAGCTTTCCATCCGGCCAGACGCTTCTCGATTTTCTCCAAAATCGCAAGCATACGTAGACTTGTTGACCCTACCGTGGATTATCGGCATGCCCAAATACTAACCAAGATTATCGACGACCTGGAACCCTAGTCGTCGGGCCAAAGAGAGGCGATCTGCCACCAACACGTTAGAAGAGAAGTACACTTGTGTCTTTGGCTCGCTCACTTTCAGTCCCGAAGCCACACAAAAACGCTGGAGGATGGCCTTCAACAAATTTGCCTGAATAGAGTCCGCTTCGAGAAATTGTAGCAAGTCATCCGCGAACATTAAATACGGGATCGAGACCTGCCCTCTCCCAACCGTAATCGGCTTCCACTCACCACACTCCACAGATGCATCAATCAAGTGAGCCAAGCGTTCAATACATAAGACAAAAAGATATGGGGAAATTGGGTCACCTTGCCGAATACCACGAGAAGGCGTAAATTCCTCACTAACGACGCCATTCCATTGCAATTGCATAGTGGCCGACGTGACACATGCCATAACTGCATTGCAAAAAAACCCGGGAGACCCACCAGCTCTAAAGAATCGCGAATAAAATCCCACCGAAGAAAGTCATATGCCTTTTCCAAATCCGCCTTAACTACCATAACCCCCTTCTTCACATTCATTCCTCGCACAGAATGAATAAGCTCCTGAGCAATGATGATATTATCTATAATCTGTCGTCCCGGAACAAAGCTCGCCTGAGCCGGAGTGATAAATAATGGAAGTGCCGGCTTAATCCTCTCAGCAAGAACCTTCATCATCAGCTTATAGACCACATTAAGCAGGCTAATGGGGCGAAATTGTTTCAATGACATCGAATTTTCCACCTTCGGTATTAACACAAGCAAAGTCCTATTCAAAGACGACAGACCACCACCACCTCGCCAAATATCAGAAATCTGAGCCAAGACCGAGGGGCCAACATGACGCCACTTGTGCTGAAGAATAAGGCATGCAAGCCATCGACCCCAGACGCCTTGAGAGGCGCCATTTTCTTTAACGCCAGAACTACCTCCGAGTCCGAGATGTCGCGCGCGATGGAAAACACGTGGCAACTCTCCAACCTCGAAAATGAGCCTGGGAGACGAGGGCCGATCCGTCGAACTTCCGTAGCTGAGTAAATAGTCTTAAAGAAATCAACAATCATCCTTTGCAGGGCTTCCGGGTCCTCTATCATCTCACCCGCCTCATTCTGAAGCACTACGATCTTATTCTTCATACGGCGATGCTGAAGTAGCCGGTGGTAGTAGGAGGTATTACGATCACCAAATAAGACCCAGTCCCGTTGGGTCTTCTTAATCAATAACAACTCATCCTGTAAGAGAACGGTATCGAGCTCCACTTTTAACTTCATCTCCAACGTACGAAGAAAGGGATTTCTCCCGAAATCACTCTTTCGTTGGATACCCCAAATACAACCATCAATAGCCGTTTACATCTAAAATGTTCCCAAACACACTAAGATTCCACTCCTTAGCTTTGGTGGAAAAATCCTCCACCTTAGTGTCATACGATCCACCGGTAGACCAAACATTCTCCACCAATGAATCGAAGCTCTCGTGAGTGAGCCAGGAGGCAAGAAAGCGGAATGGTTTCAAACCATACGGTCTGGGCACTCTGTAGGCACGAACTAAGAGAGGAGTGTGGTCGGAGTGCATCCGGGGAAGATGAAAAACCATGCTATCCGGACACATGGCCGACCACGCCTCATTGCCAATCCATCGATCCAGCTTCTCTGCAAGACCATTCCTGAACCACGTCGCTCGGGCACCATCCGTCCTAAGTTCGTGAAGGTCATTATCAAAAACCCAATCCACAAAAGTCGAACTAACATTGCAGTTTTTAACCGACCCTCCTTGCTTTTCAGAAATGCAAAAAAGGCAATTAAAATCCCCTCCTACGACCCAAGGTCCAGTAGTGTGTTGTGCCAGGGTATTCAAACGATCCCATAAAGAACGACAGAGGCGAGGAATTGGGCTAGCATAAACAAAAGAAACCAGAGCAGACCGATCGCCTATACTGACCCGCGTATGAACAAACTGGCGGCTACATTCCAGTACTTGGAGGTCCACTTCCTCCTTCCAGAGAACCCATATACCACCGGAAAACCCAAGAGCGTCAACCCAGAACGACCGAGCATAACCACATCGGCGAATAAAATTATCTGCACTCCTACCACTAATCCGTGGTTCAAAAAGCGCAAAGACATCCGAATTAGACTGTTGCTTCAGAGCGAGAAAAGCTCACCTAAAAGAATCAGATGTCGTACCCCGCACATTCCATGAAGCAAAATTCATAAAACAACAATTGGGAAAAGAACGGATAGACACATCCGTCAGATCGAGCTAGGGACCTGCGTCCCGATTCTCTCCTTCATATCCATGTCCCGGTCAGCTCCAAGTGACTCATCATTCACCGGGGCCGGAAGCACCGAATCCCTATGGGTAAGAGCCGATCTATCCACCACCATACGCGAGTCTCCAAGGTCCAAGAGCTCTACCTCATCATTCGGGCGAGATAGGGACGGTGGGTCCACCACATGGACCACCTGATGTTTCGAAGAGTCTAAAGTAGAGTGCACCGGCAGCACACTAGGATCAAACAACGACTGAGGAACGTCCCGGGAAGTTGACTGCAAAGGAGAGCTAAGAGAACGTGAAGTCTGTCCTTTCGGAGCTGTCAGCCCCATCCCTAGAACTGATCTATCATGCGAGACCATATGGATACTAGAAGATTCCCCGTGGCCCACCCGAGTCGAGCTCGTAGTAGTATGCACCTACCCTTGCTTCTTCTTACCCGAAAAAACACGCCACTCGGCCTCCTTCCCTTTAACACTCTCAGAAATAACCGAAGACGAAGTCGGGGCACTCTTCTCAACCCCAAAAGTGAACATGGGGGAAGCAATATTATTAGAAGGCAGAACCTCGCCATTCTCCTCCCTAAGAACGTCAAACCGCGACCCAGTTCTGCCGGTGGTAACCTGCTGTTTCGGACCCAAAATTTTATCCCCATTCTTACGCCCAATAGTAGACTGACTATTGGTTTTCGCCACAAGCCACGGACCATACATTCCCTGATTAGAACCGTTATCAACCGTCATGGTACCAACATTCTTGTCCAGACCAGCCGTCCTAACAGAAGCATCTCTGGGCGTCCCCCGGGGTCCTGACCGTTGGGCCTCAGAATCATCGATTTTCCCCTCTCCCGGACGAGGACTGGAACGTTCGGGCACAACGCCGCAACATGGCCGTAGATACCACAAGTAAAGCAAATGTTCAGGAGAAACTCATATTCCACTCGTTGGACCTTCCCTCGAATAGTAAAGCTCGCGCACAAAGGCTTACGTATATCCAAAACCACCGCAAGACGAGCATACTTACCCTGCGTTTGAGCCGCCATCTGATGATCAACCTTCACCACCTTTCCAACAATGTCCCCAATCGTACGAAAAACCTTCTTATGGTATAAATGAACCGACATACCCGACAGAAGAATCCACGTCACCAACGAACTGATTTGATTACACGTCGCATCAAATTCGTCACTCCACGGTTGAACATGTAAATAATATTTCTGATATTATTAGGAAACAACCCATGGACCGCCCACGAGAACACGTTCCGCATCCGCCTGATTATTGAACCAAACCTGGAAATAGCCATTCTCCAAGTCGATCATGTCACAACCATTCATAAATGGCCACATCGCAATCAACTTGCTATATAGGAGATGATGAGAGAAAGCCGCCCCCATCACCTTGACCACCACCACGTTCCTCCAAGAGTTCAATAACGTCTCATAAAAGCTATCTTTGAGACGTATAAGGAAGCGGACCTTGACGATCCACAGCCACATCATCCTGGGCATCATCGCCCTCATCATCAGAAATCAGTTCAACATGAGGCCGATGTCGATCAACCATATCCCGGAAACTCAGCGCTCCCAGCACCATCGCCGATGTGGGCTCCTCGAGAGTAGTCTCCATATTACTACCGCCAAGGGTTTCGTGTACCCGAGACCGCTTTGACGAGCACGCATTCTCAAGCAGCGGAGAAGCAGCCTTATGCAGCTCTGGGAAATAGAGGTTTCTCCAGTCGGGTGGGTCTTTTCGGATCGTCCGGCGGACTAATTTTCTTTATTTTCTTTGAATGCCTTTTGTAACTTGGGCCTATAGGAAAGTTTCGGCCTATTGGGCTAACAGAGTAATAGAATCCAGTTTCCAAGTCCATGCGAGCCCGCAATCCTACGTCTACTTTGCGAACTCAAAATATCAACACGCTTTTTAGCAGTGTAGCTTAAAGAGCATTTCCATTTCATTCACACTGTAGATAACTGGAATATACTAAACCGTAGAGGAAAAAAAGTTCCTAGGCTTTGTTTGGCAAACAAAACTGTGAAGTTGGAACCAGTAGCCATTTTCAGACTGTGAAAATGCAAGCTATTGAAGGAATAACGAAATCGCGCCGATTGGCTAGGGTTTTAAAGAATGCGTCGGCCGGCGTATTCAACTCCGCCGGACGAGTTACAGCTTCCTGGCCGGAGGATATGGGTAATGAAAATTCTCGTGAGCTCATCAGCCATCAGTCTCCGCGCCGCCGCTTTCATTCCGTCTCTTTGTTGTCGGGTAATTTGTATTTTGTGCTATTGTTTCCTCATATCTCTACGCATAAGAAGTGGAAAAAAAAGATGCTAGCTAAGAACAATTGGTACTTATGCAGTTTGAAATTGAGTGTCTTTAAGATGTATATGTTTTTTTTTTTTTTGGTTGATGGAAGCATATGGTTTGAATTTAGCTGAGCTGAGTGCGTGAAGAACTTCTGTGTTGTAGTTGTATTTGATCTACTAAGATATGGTGGTGAAATGTGTTTATGCGCAGATACTTATAGTTTTGTACATCTAGTGATGTGTTTGGTTTTATAATGTGTGTAGTTGATTCGTGTACTTGGTATCGGAATCTTCTTGTCTATTCAACTTGAATGATTTAATATTATGGCATTGGGTATGGTACAGTAGGTGTGTGTGAGCTAGTCTTGTGAATTTTAAGTATGTTGTACCCAACAGATAACTGCAATGTTATACACCTAACGGCGTAAAAAGTGAAGGAATTTAGTGAGCATGAATGTTTTGAGATGAGTGTGTTTACCTATCCCTGAAAGGCTTTTCTTAAAGCATATTATGCATGCCATATTGTTTTATGTGAACGTGAATTTACAGGCAATATCTGTGGAACTTCGAGAACTGAATTATATTGTCGACAAGTTGCACCGTCATCAATGATGATGCCGAATAGATTTTATTCTTCTGAAGCAAGGGCTACCGAGAATGATTCTGCTGGTATATCTTTTTCGTCATTCTGTGGTTTAAGACACTTGAAAGTTGAAATGCATCTCATGTTAAGAAAAAGGTTCCTTCTGTTGTTTCAGATGCAGAGACAGTCAAAGGAGTGCATGATAAGTTGGTGAACTGTGTGACAGAGAAAAGAACCGCCCCTCCAAATGCTTGGTTGTGGTCACTCATTACTAAATGTTCCACGCAGGAAGACATTGAACTCTTATTCGATATTTTGCAGAAACTTCGTAAATTTGTTAGTGGTTATCTGCTTCAAAGCTCTAATTTTGTTTGACTTATACTTTCATGTTTTATGTATGCTTGTTTTTGTTGTGTGCTGCAGAGGCTGTCCAATCTTCGAATACCCGATGACTTTAATAGTGCACTTTGCAGGGAAATTACAAAGGCCTGTGTTCGTGCAGGAGCCATTGATTTTGGTGAGTTATATGACCCTCTAATCTACTGTCACTGGTTTCAAGCCTCTATATATTTTAACTACGGAGAAAATTCTTAATTATACTTAGCAAAACTGTATTTTACTTTCTTGTTGGTGTTGGTACATTTAACCAAGCTGTTGTTCGCAGCAATAATATATTCTTCCATAATTGTTGTTTGTTCACACTCCCATTTGTGCAAAGCCCACATAAACTCAGTTGCATGCCTTCATAATTGCACTAGAGATTTGGTTAGGGATTGAGGAAAATTCTAGGGGGAAATGTTATTGGTGTATGCTTTTGGGAAATGTGTATTAGAAGGAACTGCTTTGGGCTTATGGCCTCTTCTATGTACCTGCTGCTAATACATGGGTCTTTCCATGGCTATTGGATATAGAACCAAAGATCTTTCTGAAAACTATGGAAAATGATAGTTACACTAGCATTGGGCACTTCATTACTGTCCTGTTTGTTTTAGTTTCACAGACAAAAAATGTAAATTAGTTTTATCACGCTTGACTAGTCATGTGGTGAAAGTTAATGCAATGTAATTTATGACATCTTGTGATGGCAAGGAAGTCCTCCCTATGTACTGGTATAGTGTGTTCTTCATTTTTCTTTTTT